GAGATCAACGATAATCAAGGAGTCGACTGGTGGTGCATAGCATAATATGCACCGGTACTTGAGATGCATAATCAAGATTACATTGATTACAGAAGAATGTATTAATAAAATTTATAATTAATTGTTTACTGATATAAATAGTTTACTGATAATATTTATAATTAATTGTTTACTGATATATCATGTAGTAAGGAAGAAATAATATTAAATAAATATAAGAGAAAATAGACAGTTATTCAATATATTTTTTAATTTGTAAATGTTTTGTATAAAATATACAATGTATAAAATAAAATGTAAGAAAACTTTACAAAAATGATACGAAAAACGCAAAACTGGAGCAGGAAATAAGAAACTAGGTTAGTAATTTAAGAGTTGCGTTAAGCACGCGAAATATTTTTTAAAATGCATCAATACATCAAACGCAGCCATCATATTACGTAAAACTGAAGTTTTGTGCAATTAAAATTTGTGATTTTGTTTCTGGAAACTTGTTTGCATTTTTAAAATTAGTAATAACTACAACAATAATAATAAAACACAGTAGAGTCCCGAAAACTCGGCCTAATGTTGAAAAGGCGGCCGAGTTGGTGAAAATGCCATGCTATTAGGAAAGGTTTCAAAATGTATAAGTACGAGTGCTTTCTCAGAAAATACAGTATTTGTATGTATTGGTTGCTTGAGAATACAAACATTTACAGAGAATTCTACATTGTAACTCAAACCACCAAAATACTCTTAAACAAAGGAAAAGTGCGTACTTTATGAAGAGCCTTTATTAATGAAATTTAATGAATACATACTGTACAATAATTTATCTGATAAGACAGACCTCAGAAAAATACTTTCTGAAGGCATAAAGCTGTCTATAATGAAACCTAACTAGCCGACTTTGCAGTCCTCAAAGTCGACGTCTTCATCATTTTCCGGAATTTCTTCATTAACTCTGATAACAGTAGTAAGTTTTGAATCGGACATAATATCTTGCTCGGTATCATTCAGAAACCATTGTTCGATGTCATTTACATCGGCTTTTGCACATCCAAGGAACCTTTTTCCAGGAGGTCGAGTAAGTTTATATTTTCTGCATCATCATGTTCACTGAATACATTTCCTTCGTGATCAAGTAGTTTTCGCCAGGAACGAACTAGTTTTAATAACTTCAACTTGTTCCAAGCGTTCGCCATTCATCTAACCACATCTAATAGGTTATTTTTTTTTAAGTTCTGGATAAGACCTTGACCATCACTGTTTGCAGAAAGAAGAGAGGATAACAGCTTGCGCCTATATCTTCTCTTGAGACTTAACTTCTTGGTCTATTGGCGTACATAACGCTGTGACATTGGGTGGTATAAACATTGCTCGTATGTCCCCATGCTTTTACTCTTCAGTGTCTGGGTGCGAAGACGCGTTGTCCAAAATCAGAATAGCCTTCCTTGGCAACTTTTAGATTTTAGAAACCGCTCAACCGGTGGAAAAGATACTTCATGGAACCATTTTTTAAAATTGCACAGCTTATCCAGGCATTTGACTGATTTAGATACCAAACAGAAAGTTTATACATTTCAATGTGTGTGTGGTTTCTTGATTTTCATATGACACCAAGTTTTAATTTGTGGTCACCTGTTGCATTACTACATACTAGGATTGTTATCCTCTCCTTGCTCCTTTTAAAACCAAGGGCTGACTGTTCTTCCTTGAAAGCAAGACTTTTCGCTGCTAACAGTTTATAATTTAACCCTGTTTCATCAGAATTGTACAAGCACTCTTCGGTTAAACCTTCAATAAATTTCTGAGTTTCCCTTAAACGGAGATATACCCTCTGTGTCCCCAGATATTTTTTCCCACACATACTTAGTTGTCGCACTCCATATCGTTTGTCAAGCGATCATGCCAGCCAGTGCTTGCGACAAATTTAAGATAGTTGTCGTTTTTAATTCTTCATGAAATTTCAAGGTCTTCTCTTGTAAGATTTGCCCACAAATTGGTGTGTCTTTCTCTCTTGTTTAGCTAAACCAAATGTAAAGCGTTTCATTTACCTCATTAAATTCCCTTTCCGTCATGCTTTTCTTTTCTTTCAATGTTTGTGTACACAGTCTCTTAACACAACACGATTCAATTTCCATCCGCTACTTCTTCCAGTCTCCAAACGTACTTTGTCGACTCCAAAGTCCTCTGTCACTGCACTGACACTTTCTCCCTTATCCAGTCTCTTTATTGTTCCCAACTTTTGTTCCATACACACGTTCACTTGTTTTCTTTTATCGAAAGATGCCATCGCAGAGTACTGTCCAACACCCACAAACTTTGAAACAGCTCTGAACAATACAGTACAGTCATTCACATCGAGTTAAGAACTCGACTACCTCTGGCAAAGGCTGCAGGTAGACTGATCAACTGAACAACACAGTCACGTGGTGGAGGAGTGGGAGTATGAAGCCCGACAAAGGAACGGAGGAAGAAGGGGACAAATACACGCGGGCAGTGAGCTTGAATGGGTCCGCGCGCGAGTTTTGTTTACCTGCCAGGGTGTGGCCGAGTTAAAAGCGATTTGGCCTCAAGAACATTAAAATTGAAAACTTCATGTTCACCTGTAACCAACAAGACTGCCAGTGCTGAGTCTAATAGGTAGTAATTATTGTAACCAAAATTTCGTTCGTATATACCACTGCCTTCTTTCTATCAGACTCATTCGGACCTTCGAATTTTCCATACACACGTTTAGTTAATAAATTAGTATGAATGTAATACTTTTTTTTCTTCGGCCTCAATCGTTCTTGCAAATTTTAATGATAACTTTATTTTTCGAGCAACATCAGTCATTGATACTACTGCAAATTAGCTTATTCTATTCTAAGAGTTTTTAAAAATTAAAATAAAACATTATGAATAAAGTTTTAAGGAGCAGACAATTGTTTGTTCAATGGCGCGTCCTCTTTATTTTCTACTGCGAACAAACAGTTATTGCAGAATGCTGCTAAGAGTAAGAGTGCTTGGCGAGGGTGCTCATAGATGGCCCCTTTCCAGAAAGTCGTGTTTCTTGCTGCTCTGATAGTGTGAGAACTATTCTAGATCCTTTGAGACTGCAAGAAAACACTTCGAATGATGAAGCTAAAACTATGCTTCGAGCTCAATAGCTGAAACACCTGTATCTTTTGTGGCGAGTAAAGAAGCTGTAGTTTCACACGTAAGATGGAAGAATTACCACATTTTAACATGAATAAGAAACACTTACCCAAAATAAGTGTGTTTCTTGTACACGGGTAGTATTATAGATACTAATAAATTACTTAAGTTCCCGAAACTCAGATTTCATACCTTGTAAAACCGCAAATCTTAGATCGACACCTAAAGGGTTGTGACATCATATTGGAGAAGTGCGCGTGTTATTTTAATTGATCTCTGCTTTATTCTTCCCAAAGGATTTTGCTTTATTCTCGAAAGTAAAAGCGTTCAAGAATACACATTTTGAACCATCTTCTATGGCTGGATTGAGGAGAGAGCACAGATATGGACTCTCACGGATGCCAAAGTTGAGGAGAGCAGAGCGAGGCAAAAAGGTGAAAGGGGCAAACCTGGAGTAAAGCCTTAAACACTGTATCGAAAGCCAAAACACAGACTGGTTCATCTGTTTCGACAAAGAAGATCGTGATTCAAAGAAGAATTTCCCCAAAAATAAGAAATAGCAAAGAGATAGAAGAGACAACTACTTTAAAGGCGCATCTATCCTATGCTTCCGTTTTATGAGCAGGGGAACCTACAACTTAAAGACCGGAACCAAGCTTGCTCAGAAGATGCCTAATATCTATCATGAATTTACAAAACAATAATTTGTCACATTGCAAACATGGACGAAGTTCCATTCATCTTTGATGCACTTTCCAAGAAAATTGTAGATTAGAAAATCGACAAAACAATAGTAATCAAAGTATGTGACATGAAAAGACTCATTACACATTTATCCTGATGCGACATGTTGATAGTACCGACTTGCCATTCATTCTCATTTTCAAAAGAAAGACATTTCTAAAGGAGTAGCCGCCAGATGGAGGTCTTTAGCATTTTTATGCAAAGGACTGGATGCATGAAGACGCCGCTATGCTTTGATATGTGAATATTTGGAGCAAGAGACCAGGGAAATTTTTTACGAAGCCAGCTAAGCTAGTACTAGGTCAGTTCCAGGCACATTTAACCTTTTCCCGGGGGCTGGGACATATATGTCCCGCACGTTCACTACTTTAAATGTGTCTCAAGAAATTTCAGTAAACTATGGAGATTTAAAATTTACTCCTTAATATGGATTAGAAAGTGCAATACCCTGTCGATTTGTTTTTCTGTTCCTTTCAGTTAAAATAAGTGACTAAATGGCCAAAATACATTCGAAATTGGACCCTATAGCCCACGGAAAAAGGTTAACAAATGAAGCAAAGAAGTTAGGAAAATACCCAAATGGCAGTTATTATGGGTGGTCTTTAGAAGCCAACTCTGGATGTCAGTATCAATAAACTCTTTCAGATACTAATCAGGGAGAATGGGGAAAAATGCATTCAAGATGTTAATACCAGCTGGAAAAGTCAGAAAGCTAAAATTAGTGAAATTTGCAGCTGAGTGAAGAAGTCATGGAATAGTGTGAAAAAAGGTTTTCTGAAGGGCGTTAAAAATGCAGCGTTAGTAACAAGACGGTTTGTTATGAGGAGGATGCAATTCATGTTGAAAATAACTAATGATGTTAATGAACTAGTTGATATGGCTGATAGTGATATCTTATGAGAGCGATGAGAAATTTATTGGTTACTAACAAAAATATATCTTTCACGAATTTTTTCTTTTATTTTTAATTTTAAGCTCCAAAACATTTCATTGTCCTTTATACGCAAGCGTTCCTTACACGCGCTAAAATACGGTAAGTTGTTTCGTCGACGACCAAGCATCGACTGGCATACATTAACTATACGTTTGTGGGACTCTAAATATTTCTTTTAGAGAACGCTTACACTCACCTTCATCTGACATTCTAACTTGCACTCTTAGTAGTTCTCCAAGAGAAACGGTGTCTCGTTCTTGACCCTCCATGTCCACGATATGCAGGGATAGGTCTGGTAGCGCCGGAGATCCTCGGCTTCTGTCACTGGAACCTGGATCCCTGAAAAACAGAATATTTCGTTAAGTATATAATAGTAATTAAATACTGTATGCTTCCGTTTGGGACAACGCCGAACAAGAAAGAAGAACTTATCAATTGTTCCCAAAATTAGGCATAGCATCCAGTTTAATAACAAGAGAAATATTATGGTTCTTATCAGGGCATGGCCCTTTTCCCACGTACTTTTATGCAAGGAACTTAGCTGCATCAGACCAGTGTATAAGTGGAGAAAGAGGCAGTACCAAACATTATTTATTTAAATACTCCTTCACAGCTGAATATCATTTAAAAGTCCCGAATTCAGAAAGTGAAATAACTCCTTTTATAAGATACGCTATCGAGACCAAACATCTCAGAAAAAAAAAAGTGATAAATATAATGAACTTCCTGTCAACAAGAGGCACTGAGTTATGCAATACAGCATAGAATAACATATTAAAAATATTACTTAAAACATTATATGTAAGCAGACCTGGAGCTGTCTTCCATAGCATGTAAGTGCGAAAGGCACCAACTGTGAAAACATCGATGTATATTTAATGGAAAAAGAAAGACACTACCCGCGGTGTGGTTTCAATACAAAGCATTGCAAGCGGAGTGTAATTATCTGCATAACTAGTGTGCCTGGACAGCATCCACAATACCAATGGTTAAACAATGGGTATCCACCACACTTCACTATATCCATATCCATATGCTTGCGTTGTAGGGAAGGAAAATGCAGCAGTTCCTAGAATACTATCTTTTTAATTTCTTTCGTCATTTTGGTGTTATCTTCAAGTAAACACATTCGTGTTCGTTTAATCGTATAGAGGAAAGGCAGATTCATTTTTCATGTCGAAAAATTACTTTTTCTTATTTGGCTCCTGTTCACTGGCGAATGGTACAAGAAATTGGCATTTTTTCTCTAAAAATTACTTTCCTGACCATTTGTTAGTATAATATACATAAATATGATGACGGTGATTGTTTACAATCGGGGCATAAAGACCCAAGTTTCTCAATTTATTGTTCTTTATAATTATTATATATTTTTGCACAGACGATTTCAGCTGACATCAAAACGACTAGAATGGAAATAGCTATGAATAAAAATATCGCGATATCGCATTAGCAGTGCATTTTTTTATTCATGATGGAAATAGCTACTAAAATGTAAGAGAGAGAATTAAAAATAAAATGCCTATTCCATTCCTTTAAATTCCCCCCAAACACAAATTCACAGCAGTTTTAAGGAAGAAATTTACAATGCTAATATCTGAAAATTTAAAATTTCGTAAAAATGAAAAAATGTATGTTTTAAAATAGCAAAAGTATATAATTTTCATAAAAATTTAACGGGGAGGATGTACCAATTACGTATAATATTAGCATTAGAAGCTTTTCTTTATCACACAATTTTGAAAATATCGAAAAAAATGGCAGTTGGATATACTTCAAGTTAATTATACTTTAAACTACATAAATTCGATACATTATTAATAAAAAGTTTAAAATAGAGATTTAATTTTTAAGAGCTATATTTATTGCTTTGAGATCTATCAGTTTTTAAAGCAATAACAAATTTATTAAATTTGAAAGGTAAATTAAGGATCTTATGCTTTGTGGAATAGCCACAATTTTAAAAACAGCTATTTGTGAGGATTCGTGGAAGATAAATTTGTGATGTTATGATTCATGTAGTAGCAGCGCTTGACAAGGATTGCTCCTAGATACTTTCTTGTCTTTTGATCCGTCAATTTTCACAGGACAGGTGTTTACTCTTCAGCAATACATTTTCTTCTAAATGTAAAAGTACGCAAACATATTTCTTCAGAGAGAAATAAGCCATTAATAATTTTAGGGTCATTTATAACGTCCATGTGTTGGATTATTTAACACAGTGCATTCATGTTTATTTTATTATTTTAGCTGCTTCCAGACATTATGGGAAAACTTTAAATAAATATTTATTTTAGATACAAAATATGCGCTGAAAAGTGATAAAAAAGTGACTAAATTTATTTTCTAATACTTTCATAAATTTTGAACATAAAGGTAAGAAACACTTTGCCCTCAACAATTGAAGCATCATGGACATTTCCCTCATTAGGCATTTTATTCTACGGTTATAGTGTACAAAGTAAAATTTTATGTTTTCAAAACTTTTCTTTCATTAATTCTGAAATTTTTCTTGTCAAATTATCTTATTTAGGAAACTATGTAATTGAATGCTGATGCATTACTGAATAAACAATTAGTTAAGGTTAAATTATTAGTTAAGTTATTAAGAAAGCCCACCAGCGGCCGAGCGGAAAGACGCTGAATACTGGTAGTTCGGTCCAAAGTTCGAATCCCGCGAACGGGCTGGCTGCATGGGCGTTTTCGTGGTTTTCCCCATGTGTAACGTGTACACGATCCTGTTTTCCTTAGAAAGTCCTCCACGAAAGCATCCCTCCCTTTAGGCAGATAGCCCTCGTGTGCTTTGCCATAATTGAATAATCCCAATCGCAGTCCCTAATTCATTAAGCTTGTGTCGCCATCAGCTTATAAGGTCCCGGATCCCTTCTTGGATAACTTTCTAAGAGAAACTGGACCATGTTCGTGTTACAGATGGACGAAATAGCGACGGCACCATGCAGTCACCAGCACTTAAAATAATAACTCAACGTTGGTTGTTTGACATGGGATCAAATCTCAGCGAACGGGTTTACCGCATGGGAGATTTCGTGGTTTTTTTCATTCATAACGTGAATCAACGAGCTTTAATTTAAACCTAATAATGGCAGACAATCCTCGCATGTTTTGCCATAAGCAAAATAATCCAATTTAATCCAGTCTGCCAAATTGGCAGCACCATGCAAAACAGTATACCATTAATCCTCTAGTGTCGAGGTTCTCTATAAAACGAACACTTCTGAAAATTCACCAGCATTTCTCATCAGATAGATAAACATTGCTAAGCAACGTCATCTCTCTAGAACAGCCCTGTCTTCAGAAAACCAAACTTCTCTGCAGCAGTAAAAAAAAGCTAACCCTTAAGAGAACCTCTTGCTAAGAAGTTGACAATGAAACCGTCTAGTATTTCTGAAAAAATAACTAAACATCAGTATTGGGGAAGTATTGAATGTATCTCTTTTATACGAACCCTCACTTCCACAGAAAGTGAGATTCATCTGGAAATGTGGGTCCAGTGTTTAAAAAAGGGTTTATCGCATGTGAAAGTACAACAGTGTTGAATTCGCTCTGTTGGGTAGCATAATTAATATTCCCATCAACGCGCCTCTGCGCAAAAATTGAATCCGAGCCAAATTACCAGTCGTTAGCAGTATTATCCGCTTGGATACTGAAGGGAAGTATAAAGAAGATAAAGCTCATATTCAACTCGAACACCCAGTATAGAGAATTTGGTTCTGGAATACATAATTCCTTGAGACGGGAACACTGCTGGATAATACTATATTCAGGTGCCGCCCATTTTCACCTATAAAGGTAATTTATGTTGACTAGACGGGCTGGCTTGTGCCCAGCTTCTAACTGGAGCTCTGCTGTATTTTTAAAATATAAAAGCCCAAGCCAGATGTTCTCCGTGACCGTTTCCGCAGTTAACATCAAGAAAACTTCAATGAAAAAATCGTTTTTTGCTTGCAAACCTTTCCACTTTCGCCATTAGGCAATCGAACATACAGCAAGAATCTTATCGCTGAGCTGGATTGTCGGTTGAACAACACAAAAGACCTCTTTTCTCCTCCAGTCAGCGCCGATCGCGAACGATGATTGAGACCAATGGCTGCTATTCAAGCAATGAAACGCGGCAACGAAAAAAGGCTTCCTCGTAACTCCAAAAACAATGTGATTCGAAAAAAGGAACGTAGCGGTGAGAAAACTTCGTCTTCCCTTTCTCGATTAAAAAGGGTAGATTAGAAGGATTTCACCAAAGACGGCAGTAATTTTTTTCTCCTTTTTTTATTGAAGTCGGGTGTTAACAGAAGAAACGATGCATAAGGTTAAGAATCTTGAGGAAAATTCGATAGCATCTTACGTGTCAAGAAAAGGTTAAGAAGACGAAAAGAAACGCTGCGGGGATTGAAAAAAGTTCCTGAATTGCGATCTCAGTTGATTTAGGAAAGCTTGGAACACGACAAGAGAGTTCATAAAGAATATAACATTATAAAAGAAAAAAATTATGTATCGGTGTATGTAATACATAACATTAGATATTTCTTTATTAATTAAAATAATATTAGAGCTAACATATAAATATTATCATTAGGAATGCAGGTAACTAAATGTAGTTTAAATTACACCCGTTAGGTATATTATTAAAGCTTTTTAAGATACTTTTAACTCACTTAGAATAGCGAATATAGCTTTAAACACTTATCGCTGTTTTTCTTACTTTTAAAAGCTTTTCGTTATTTCAACACCAACACCTGCCAGGCAGAGTAGATTATAAATGAATGGTAAAGTAATGTTACATAGCGGTATGAAATTTTTGATAGTGTCTGTTAAATACCTTTCTAATGCAAGTAACGCTTTAAAAGAACTGCGTTTGTTTCTTTAAAAATCACTCAGTTATTTAAACAATTTAAATTTTAAGAATAAATTTAAGATTTTACGTTTCAGAGTGTAGCAACAATTGCCAAATCGCGTGGATGGTAAATGAATGACAAGCAACGTAATTTAGAAACAACATAACGGTCCAAACACTTGGTTTGGGTTTACTTGATTACGGCAAAGCACTCGAGGTCTAGCTGCCTAAGGGGAGGGATGTCTTCCTGGAGAACTTTCGACGGGAAACTGGCTCGCATAAATGTTACACATGGAGAAAGCCATAAAAACGGCCTTGCAGCAAGCCCGCTCGCCGGAATCAAACACTAAACGAACTACCAGTGTTCAGCCACTTTACCACTCGGCCCCTGACTGGCCCCAATATATTTGGAAAGACTCTGCCTAAAAATACTTCTAACATCAAAATGCTATCTTACTCACTACTTAAAATTTTATCAATTCTAAACTGT